CATAACTAAAAGCAGAGACACATGCCATTAAATCAATATTTCTCAACCTTGGCAACTTTAAGACATGTGGACATTAACTCCTAGAATTCCCTAGCTCACATGCCATCATGATGATGATGATGATGATGATGATGATGATATAGAAAAATATTCCTAGATGCCCTTTTCCATTTTAGGTCTTTGCAAATAAACAGAAATTAATTCAAAAATCCACCAGGATGAATTTGGGATGATGCCATTATTTGTTGCTATCTTCTTTTTACTGCTACCATCAAGGCTTGCAAAATCAGTTCTTTATTATTCTGGATGTTATAGTCACACAGATTTATCAATGTGTCCAATTCATCTTTATTATAAGTGTGAGTTCAATCATCCTATATGGTGACATGCCACTGGCAAAATCTACCATACTTTCAGCTATTTCAGCAGAGGTGCGCTTAATCCCTGCATAAAGTAAAATAGAAATGGAAAGTGATTATTTTAAAAATAGTTGATTATTTTAAAAAAAAACCAAGAGGACCCAAATTATATTGTAAAACTCATGCTGTTGCATATATGTTCACCATACACCGTAGCACATCTGATTCTGATTTTAACTAAAATAAATCAAAATGGCAGAATGTGGATTCATAATGTGACATGAGAGTGTCTTGAGGCAAGATTTATTTATTCGTTTATTAAATTTATTTGCTGCACATCTCATTTTGGAGTGAAGATGGGTAGCTAACAAATAAATGATGAGAGACTTGGAGGAGATTGCATGCCAAGCAAAAGAGAAATTAACAAAAGGTCCCATGTATAGAGTCATAGTTTAAGTAAAAACTACCCAAACCTAGCTTATATGAAAAGATTCTGTTTGCAAAAAATGTTGCATGCTTAATTAAGCCTTAAGATTCATTTAAATGTCTACCAGATTAAAGCTTCTAGCTATATCTGTTTTAACTAACATTTGTTATTGATTCTTCTCTCTACTGCAGTTTAATATTGGAGGCAAGTTTTTATTTGAAGATTCTTATGGCATAAAGAAAATCATAAACAAGAGAAGCATGAAATATTGGAAAAAACAGGTTAGACACAACATTATGCCATAATCTTCAGGAATATCTTCTTATGTTACTGAGCAATTAAATTTTAATTAATTGTTGCTAAAGACTCAAATACTAACCAGTTTTTTTATATACCCTAAAAGAATCATTCACCAATGGGAAGTGAAAAACAGTTGGGACATTGGAGTTCTCCTTCTCTTAAAAAATGTAGCACTCCTTTGGATTTTGCCTGTCAGTATAACATTAGGAAAAGGGATATCTTGATACAAGCAGTATTTCCCATCTGTTCTATAGACTATAGACGAAAAACAAGGGAAATCAAATACAAAACCAAGGCCATTTTTTTTTCTCCCTGAACTTTACATCTATTTATTTCAGACCCAACTAAAAATGTAACGCTTTAGTCAGAAAGTCTGATATGCTCTTTAGCAACATTTGGCAATGTTTTAACATGATGAGATCATTTGAATATGCATGTCCTATTGGCCATTATTTGTTGTCCTGAATGTGCCAAAAAAAAATCATTCATTTCCTTTTTAACATTTTTACAATTAGGAATCAGTTTACATTTCACATTTAAACAGTATCAGAAAATTCTACATGTGGCTCTGTAATTCATAAAGTGACAGCAGTCACTGAGAAGCAAAACCAAAAGGTGCTTCAGGCAGAGCTGCTATAATAGGAGCTGCCAAAAATTGATCCTTGCTTGCACCATTGTAGGAATTCTAGCTCCTTTGAAGTTGTTGACCAAGGGCTAAAAAGCCAAGCAAACATAAAAGGAAAGCTGGTTGGGGAATTCTGGGAGCTGAAGTCCATGTATCTAAAGTTTCCTTTAGACTCCCCTAAATCAATCACCTTTGAAACTCTGCTTAGTAACAAAGAGGATGAGGAGGGAGGGAGAAAGAGAGGGAGGGAGAGAGGGAGAGAGAGAGAGAGAACTTACAGTAGTTCATTTAGTGACCGTTCAAAATTACAACAGCACTGGAAAAAAGTGACTTGTGACCATTTTTCACACATGATCCTTGCAGGTTTCCCTATGGTCATGTGATTTACATTTGGATGCTTGACAACTGCTTCATATTTATGATGGTTGCAGTGTCCTGGCATCTCGTGATCAACTTTTGCAACCTTCTGACAAGTTGAATGATCAATTAAATGAAAATAGCAACAAGTGAAGTTTTCAGATTTGACAGAAACCCTAATTTGGGCCATTATGTAATTTCTGGAGTACAAATGTTTCTTTTATGTTTCATGAAATCTAATAGGTAGAATAGGATTCAGTAAGAAAAGAAATACATTTGAGGTTTGTAAATGAGTATTAAAACATGAAGCTTGGATTTTGGTGCAATAATAGAAAAGAAACTATATATTACATACCGTTCAAACTCTGTAGTTACATCGTAATTACATTTCAAACAGCGGCCTTTATTCTGCTACAACTGATGCCATAATAAATATAAGTTGTAATTGCCCAAAGTCCTACCTTAACTGGGTTGTACATTTATCAGTTTTCAGGAGAGAAATACAAACTTCTCCATGCAGGAATGTTTACGACACTATTCGTTTTTAATCTTTAAAGAATTTTATTGCAGAATATAAAAACAAATATAATTCATTTAAACTATTCCAAAAAATAGAGGTTTCTTTAAATTCTTACATAAGATCAGTCTTGCAAAGTCTCTGAGTTATTTATAACAATAATTCCTTTGCATCACTTACGTAACAAATTTGAGAGTGACTTACAGTATGTCTCTGATATGATTTCAAACCAAAACCAAAACAAACAAATTTTACAGCTCTGTTAAAAAGAAACTGGACATGGTCCCTAAAAATCTCATTGTAAACCTTGAGAGCCAGTTTAGTGCAACGTTTAAGGCACCAGTTTAAAGTTTAGAAACCATGAACTCTAATGCCTTCTTAGTCATGAAAGCAGCTGGCTGACCAGACATGTTAGCTCAGCCTTAAAGAATCAGTAATAATAAACCACTTTTGAAAAAACCTTGCCAAGGAAACAACAGTGCCCCAAAGTGCACATTGGAACTGCAATCATATCCTGGCCCCTATGCCTGGAAGAACAGCCAGTTTCTCGTGGCCTTCCGGAATGGACAGGATTGAGCAATATCAGAGGGATATTAAATTATTCTCCATGACGCCACAATGACAAACAGGGCACAGTTTTAATGAACCAGAGTATGCACTTACCATCTGTTTAGTGAGCATTTCAAGTTACAATGGCACTGAAACAGGTTGACTTAGGGTCATTTTTTACACTTATGACCGCTGCAGCATCCCCATATTCACGGGATCAACTTTCAGAGACTTGGCAACTGGTTCATAATTATGATGGTTGCATTTTCCCAGGGTCATGTGATCAGTTTTTGTGACCTGACAAAGTCAATGGGGAAGATACATTCACTTAACAACCGTGTTACTAAACAACTGTAGTGAAAACTTGGGGTAAGAAATGTCATAAAACGGGGTAAAATTCACTTAACTGTCTCACTTAACAACAGAAATGTTGGGCTCAATTGTGGTCTTAAATAGAGGAGTACCTGGTGTTTTCTTCACTGTATTGAACTAATGTGTTGCATATAGCTACCTGCATACATTTTCTCTAGTGATTAATCGATGTTGTGTACATATGTCTGTTGCTTTTGTATCCAGGCCCAAACAGGAAAAGTAAACACCTCTGTATTTTTGTTTTCTCCTCATGTTACATGTGGCTTTGTAAGCATATGTGCACAGGGAAGCACATGGCTGGGTGCCTAGGCTCTGTTCTGCATCACACAACCAGCTGGGAAAAAGGGAATTTCAGCAACATGCCAGGCTATTTTCCCTAAGGAGGCATGAGGGAAATTCTTCTGAAATTTTCTTCTCTGCAACCCTTGTCCAAATCCATTCCATTTTTGAAGTTCATCTGTTTATTTTTGCTAGCTCCTCCCCATGCCAAGTTTGGTCGCATTTTGTTACTTTTTTTCCAGAAAACTGCCCTCTTATGGCGAGACGTGGAACAGCTCTGAGCCACTTTATTTTCACAAAACTCTACTGCGGTCAGGTTAGAGTGAAAGGAGAGAAGATAATTAATTCAGCCGTCTTGAAAAATCTTAAAACAAAAGGATCACATGTTGTGAGGCAGAAAAGTGTTCCGTATTTACTTCTGCCCACTTAAGACTATAGCTTTCTTTGAAGAAAGTTAACTGAACAGACCGGCCCTTCTCAAGTCAAGTCTCAAGTCTAAATGAACAGGTCTGGGAAGACCAGACAACTTGTAGCTCCCAGGTCACCTATTCTCATGCAGAGAAGAGCTACAGTCTAAAAGAGCAGAACCCCAAAAAGACTGAGAATAGTAAGACAGATAATAGAAGAGGAAGTAGGAGAGTCTTGAGATGAACTTGGATCTATCAACCATTCATGATGGGAAACTGTAGAGAATACTCATGGTGGTCTAAGCAACCTAGCACCTGCTAAGATACAAGCTTCCTTGTCTGGGCCACTTTGCTTACCTCTTTGTTGAAAGGCCTCTAAATCATGGTTGAAAGAGAGAAACCCAAGGTTGATCTCTGCCCTTGCAGAAGAGGGGCTCAACTAGGGGTGGGATTTTATTGGTTTGGTGAGCGTGCACAGCATTCTAAAACCGTCAATTTACAGCTCTAAAACTTATCTTCTACTGCAGCACTGGGTGAGTAAAACAGCTGAGGTGTGGCAATCCGCCGTACCATGCCTCAGCTGAGCGACAAACATGGAAATATAGGACAGACTAGGGCAGGGGTGGGTGGGTGGGGCCAACTGATCATCGTTCATACCAGTTCGCCCGAACTAATGCGAACCGATAGCAGCCCACCCCTGGGCTCCAGGAACTGTGCTGCCAGTGTCATTGCCAGCAGAGGAACGGGATGTTACTTTCCTAAAAGTAAAAGGGCCTGTAACCACTACATCGCTAATGACATTTGTGGCAGTAGCTTAAGCATTTTACTACGAGGGTAACCTTAAATATCCAATTACAAAGATGTACAGCTGGGAGAGAATCTGTATGTTGCATCGAGGTGGAAGCAGAAATTGTTTATGGGGTATGGCAACTGTATTCTGGTGGGTTGTATATGCATGTGCAATTCACTTGTGTGGGCCCACCAAAAGCATGGCGACACCTAATACACCCTTATGGTTTGCCTCTAGTCCACGAAACAATTTGCAAGTCAGATTATTCAGGTTTTACTCAGGTCTATCAATATGAAATACTCCAACTGCAACTGAAGGATAGATCTGTTTATTACATATGATGTATGTGTAAGGTGATTTAAGTGTCTCCAGCTGGAAGTGTTTTCACCAACTAATAAAAATTGTGGCGCCCCATGAGTGTACCTGAAAGTGGCAAAATATACATTCTAAAGACCATCACTCAGAGTTTAACTTGGTTAGCAACTGACATCTAAAGCAGCACGAGCAATTCTGCCTTTTTTTACAAGCAAGTATGGAACTGCAGCCTATAAAGTACTTTTCAAAGTTGACTCCAGCAAGTGTTGTCTGAAAAAAGCCAATATTCTTTGCCAGGCATCTTCCTGTGCCTCTGCATGTTCTTTCCACTTTCCACCCCAGATTATATAGAACCCAATTATCTTGTGAAATGAAATATAGCACAAGGGCATATAAGGAGGCTCCAAGAGGTGCCCAGCTCCAGGATAGCAATAGAACTCCACATGACGTCCTTTCTGCTGAAGGCGACTAACAGCTTCTTGGCAGAACATTTGACTTTTCCAGTTTTTGTCATCCTGTCCACATATGAAGAGGTACTTGCTTAAGGACTTTTCAACAGGGATGCGGCATGGCCAGGTCGATGGGTCTTTGGGGTCATCCATTATTTCAGAAAAATTAAATACATTTGGATCATCAGTAAGTTGGACCTTCCTCAAATCACAAGGATGAGGTGGAATGGTGTGTCCTTTCACTTTCAAAGGGAGAAAAGCATTTAACCCTGAGCCAGAAATGCTGACAGCAGCTTGGATGTCTGGCGAAAATGCAGCTAAAGCAAGAGCGAGATCTGCACCTTTAGACAGTCCCAGGACTCCAATTTTCATAGATTTAACCTGAAACCATAGGAAAAGGATGAAGTTAATATCCACATCCATTCTTTCCCCCATTAATTAAAAATTGTCTCCTAACTTCATTTCCTCCACATGATCTGCAATTATAACATTCAAAATACATAACAAGTTGGGAGAACACTAAGTTGAGGGAGGGCGGCCAAATAGAACTAGATAAGTTTGCATTTATGAATCTCAGTATAAACTAAAGTTTTCAGTTCCAACAACACTTCAAATTAATTGCGTAGTACTATAAAACTACAAAAGCACCCAATTATTTCTTGCTCAAAAGTCAACGCCCCATCACCCACGATCTTAGTTTGCTTGGTACCTTTTGTTGTCTCTGCAAGAACTTTATTGCTTCACCAAAATAATCTAAGTCAAGGAACTCTGGGAGAGATGGGAGATCTTCAAAAGCTAAAAAAGCAAGCGCCAGAGTAACAAAACCTCTGCTTGCCAAAAGACTTGCTCTGTACTCCACAAGTCCACCTCCACTTCCATACAAATCAATAAGTGCTGGGAAAGGTCCAGGCCCTAAAAAAGACATAAAAAAGAACAGAGTTTTACAGGATTATAAAACCACACTGGCGGATACTTTCGGAAAGAAAATTCAGACACCGGCCCTTACAAAACCTACAATTTATGACACCCTTTCCCAAGCTACAGTTCTCCAACAGCTGGTGGAGCTCCCAGAATCCCAGATCAAACCATCTAGACACGCAGAGATATCCAGCACACTTGGAGAATAAATGCGGGACATTAAGACGACTAGTGAAGCCTTACTTCACCTCCTGGTCTACGATAAATGGACACCAGGGAGTGTTTCACCCAGTTGTGAAACAGCATTCCTACTTTTACTTAGCTGGAATGCTTCTCTATTTAGATCTAGAACAGTTCAGTATTTTAACTATTCTGATTTAATGCTGCTGTTTGATACGTTAGTTTCCTTAGAATTTTAATCCAGGTTTTATGGCCTACAACTGTAACGTTTTAAGTGTTCAATTTCATACAATATATGTTGCGTCCACAGCAAAGAGCACCTAGACTTGGAAGGAAAATCAAAAGCACCCCTGCCACTCTCAAGACATCACCAGTAGAGCTGAACTCTATAGCAATTTCTAGAGATGCAGTCTTGCTCATTTGCTCTGAGATTCACATGACTGGAAAACTCGCCTGGATTTGGGAACCTAGAAGGAAAGCAGCTCCTGAGATGGAAGGGACTCCACTATTTTCAATGACCCAACGTTTCCAGCGAGTTCATTCGCTGCCCGCTTTTCCACAGCCCTCCTGAGCGCGTTTTTTTTTCAGAGATCTCAGCCCGGCGACTCCCGGGGTTTTCAGGCCCATCCACTCGTGCAACTAACTCACCGGGCGGGCAGAAAAGCGTGGCTCGGAGCCGGCCTTCTCGGACGGGCACTCTGTTCACGCCTTCGGCCATGAAGCGCCTCTCGCTGCGGCAGCTGCAAAGGGGCGAGCCGGGGACTCCGCGCCCGTCGTACACCTCGTAGGTGACACAGAAAGGGGTGAGGACGTTTCTCTTGCTCAGCCTCTTATAGGGCGTCGTGGATTCCAGCGACCACAGTAGGCCCATGGGCTCGACCCCGCAGTAGCTCCCACCCAGCGAGGGGGAGCAGCTGAGGTCCAGTTCTCCGTTCCCTTCAGCCCGATAGTAAGCGCGCGATTGGAAAAGGCAACCGGCCTCATCCACCAAGGAGGCCGCCACTGTCACCTCCTGCAGCGGGGAGAGGCCCTCGATCTTCACCTGGACGGGATCGTCATACAGGCAGGTGGGGGAGGGCAAGATCGAAATGCGCGCCGCCATCTGAGCAAGTTTGCTAAGGCTAAAGCCAAGCTTCCCTCGGCTCCCACTCAGGACCCGGCCGTGCTTATTTTGTCCCCTGGAGTTTGGCTCCCGATTTATAACCCGAAAGATTTAGGGCGGTGAATAAAACCACGCCGTGCGGGTTTGTGGGAAATGTAGTTCTTCAAAATCAGAAAGCGAGAAATAGTTTGCGCCCATTAGTTGCTAAGACATCAAAAGGCAGAAGCGGCTCTAGGGCAAGGAGGGGAAATCAGGATTGGACACCATGAAATAATAATAGTCACAAAATTCTGACAAATTATGGAGGGAGCTACCAAACGGAAATCAAATCAGTTCTGCAAACTGCCAGGTGTTTGCAACACTTGCCTTGCTAGTTTGTCCCCTTGCACAGCAGAACTGGCAATCAAAAAACAAAAGTGAGAACGTTGACTTTAGGTATATGACACAGAGATTTTGTGGACAACAAGCCACTCAAAAATATGAGAATATCCTATTAAAACAACTGGCATATTAAAATATTCCCATAGTCTATTGTAAATCGTGTTCATTAGGAACCAAAAGTTTATTTTTTTATTGTTTGTTTATGTAAATATTTATTTGCAACCATAGATGTTAGGTGAACACATATGAAATTACAACAACCATATTAGTTCAACAGATTTCCCTCCCCCCATAATTAACAGCACTTATTTGTCAAAATGTGCTTTGCATCTTCCTTTGCAGCCATAGCAAACAATGCAAATTTTTTCATTATGCTTGTCTTCATCAGACAATAAGATATCAATCAGTCAGAATAGACCTGGAAGGGACCTTCAAGGTCTTCTAGTCCAACCCCCTGCTAAAGCAGGAGACCCTGTACCATTTCAGACAAGTGATTCTCCAGTCTGTTCTTAAAACCTCCAGTAATGAAACACGCACAACTTCTGGAGGGAAGCTGTTCCACTGGTTAATTGTTCTCGCTGTTCCAAAGTTTCTCCTTCATTCCAGGTTGATTCTCTCCTTGATTAGTTTCCATCTCTTTTCCTGTCCACAAGTGCTTTGGAAGTAGGTTGACCCCCTCCACTTTGTGGCAGCTCTCAAATACTGGAATACTGCTATCCTTTGCCCCCTATCCCTTCTTTTTTCCAGACTAGCCAAACCCAAATTCTGCAACCGGTCTTGATGTTTCAGTCTCCAATCCTTTAATCATCTTAGTTGCTCTTTGCTCTTTTTCCAGTTTCAACATCTTCTTTGTCATGTGGTGAGGAAAACAGGATGCAGTATACCTGGTGTGTTCTTACTAAAGCTTTATAAAATGGTAGTAATAATTCACATGATTTTTATTCTATGCCTCTGTTTATGCAACTGTGGGAAACCCATCCCCAAGAATGAAATATTTTTAGAAATATTAAAAAGGCAGAATACTATATTTCTCTAAATGAGAAATGGAAAAACAAGCTCGTAAAAGACAGAAGGTAATCTCCCTGCCCCCAAGCAAAAAAATGGAGGTGGCCCTGTTCTCATATCTTTCAGCCCTACATAGAAAACTCCACAAAGCAGATCACACTGTCTCAAATGCTGCCTCCATCCATTTGAACCAGGGAATTGGTAGAAAGCCATCACAGCAAACAGAATGGACCATACCTTCCCAAGGCCTTACCACCAAGCCAAGACTAACTTCATCTAGCAGACATGAAAGAGAGGACCCTTAGATGGACCAGTGAAGACTAAAAGATTTTCTTCAATCCCTAGAAGACATCTGGAAAGACTATGGGGGGAAGGGGGGAAATTCATTGTAAGGTTTTCTTTGTTGCCTCATTTATGTTGTAATCAGTTAAATGGATTCATGGAGGGATGGCATTTGGGAGTGGTTGGCACAAGAAGTTCTGAACACCTTCAATTTCTGTCTGATGGGAAGAAATTTTGTCCAGGATGTTTATATTGCCTGTCTTGTAGAAGTAGCTACACACACATACACACCACTCAGAATCAGACTGAGACTATGCCCTTCACCTACCTCCACATAAAAGTTTCCCCTAGGCTGGTTCTTCCTCTGTGGCACTAAGGCCCAAGCAAACATACCTCCCTGCCAATTCCCTGGGGGAGAGGGCATGCCCCCTCAAGCAATTCACTCACTGAAGAAGTAACAGAAAAGAGATCTCCAAACCTCAAGCCCTGATTGTGACTCACAAATGATGCTGCACAGTTGCCCAGTAAGGCTGAATATGTTGCAACTGGTAATCTCATTAGTAGGAGTCCCAGAGCTCATTGTGCACAATTTCAAAATACTAAATAGCTTGGATTGCACACTGGCTAACCTCAATTTGTCCTCACAAACCGTCGATGCACTAAACTAAGAGCTAAGGCAGGTCCAGGAAGCAACCCTTGGAAATGGGCAGCCAGTAGTTATGTATTAAAGCAAAACCATGGCTGTGAAGAATTGTGGGGCTTGTGCTTGCTTCAAACGTGACTGGAAGCTCACAGAAAGTGACATCAAATCTCTGAAAATAATTGGCATAGAAAATTGGATACTGTAAATTTCTTTCCAGAACTTTTGCCCTGGCTGCTAGACCTTTTGATGAACTCTTCTATTCCCTAATCTAAGTCATTTATGAAGATGTTGAAGAGTACTGTGCCTAAGACAGAACCTTGTGGTACCCCACTGCTTACCATGTTTCTAATAAAATAAGGCTGGGCCGTATTTTTTTTGAGCCCCCCAAAAATGGCTAGGCCGTTTTTTGGAGGGTGACAATTCCCCCCCACATGCACCCCCACCTAGAGTGCCCCACGTACACACACCTCTCCACGAGGCCGCTTCTATCGGCTGGTAAAAGCGCCCCAAGGGCAGAGTCACCAGCTGCTTCTATTGGCCAATAGAAGCAGCTGGTGGCGAGGCATGGCTATGCATCGGGTTCCCAACTGCAAACTCAATCGCGTGCATATACCATTGTCAGAGTAAATATCAGATCCCAAGATTCCTGCTGCATTTCTGCTTCCCGAGCCAGCCGCTCTTCTTCATCCCCTCAGGTAGCCCTATTTCTCCCCACCCCCGATTTCCCACTGCAACCACTTAGACATAATGGGTTGCAGAGTGTCGCTAAAGAAGCTGATTCCACCTATCGCCTGCGACGCATGGTTCTGGGCCCCTCTGCTTAGGCTGCCAACTAAGGGGCCTCGCAGTTTACTCAATTGCTCAATTGGTTTCAAAGGGAGGTTGTGGGGATCTTTGTGCCCCTTGCCATTCACTAGTGTCTTCGAGGGGGAAGGTATGCTTTGAGGGGGAACACAGAGATTGCTGTCTGTAAAACTGCGAGCTAAACAGCCTACTTTTATCCTACCTTCTTCTCGAGGTTTTGCTTGCAGCCTGACCACTGACAGGTGGTTGAGTCCAGCTTCAGCTCTCCCTTGTGTGGTTGGTGGGGTATTTTGGCATCTCTTTTCAGACAGTACAAGGGCAAGGGTAATCCACAAATATAGTTTTGGCTTCTGCAAAGACATTGTAGTGTGTGGCGTGGTTTGCGCAAATACAGTACCTACCTTGCCCCATTTGTCCGTAGAATAAGACGATACACATCTCTTAAATCTCCAATTCCTAGATATTCCAGGACATTAAAATAACTTAAATATTACAATATTCATAGACAAAGGAAGGAGGGGTGTTTGTGTGTGTGTTACTTTTCCCCAGAGTCCAAATAATCACAAGTCCAATATTTATTTGTATTTTATTCTACCCTTCCTCTAAAAGGGGGGGGGGACTTCATTCTTCTTTAATTAATAATTTTCAAACAAAAAGTAAGATAGAATAGTTGTGCTGTCCCAGCCAGCCTATGGGAATTGGATAGGCAAATTTCTGCGTTTAGCCTCAAGTCTCCAGACTTCGCTACGCAACCTCTCTAGTGCTTCCTTGTGGAGCATGCAACACTAGCAGGCATATTTCTGAGTGTAGACTGGATCAAAGTCATTCAAGAGACTTTGTGGCCAAGCACAAAGTTGAACTACTAAGCTGCCCCTGATCTACTGACAGGATTGCTCACCCCATATTTAGGCATGTATATATTTCATTCCTATTGCATGCCTGGTTGGATCCTTTAATTACTGTACTGTAATCTAATTTCCATAACATTTAACTGTCAATGTAATGCTTGCATTTGCACAATGTACTAACTTTAATGTTCTAACTTTGCTTCTTTTTACCCTGTTAGGCAACTTAGTTGACTTCTTGGTTAACTTATAATTTAATATATTGAGCAATCCAAGAAAATAGACTACAGTACAGTAATTCCGTAACAAAGCTAGGTGTGCTGTGCAAGCACAAGGATAAAATTCAAGGATATCTGCAGTTATTTGTTGTGCAATTATTCTGCCTTTTAAGTGAATATCTAGATTTCATCATACTTAGCTCATCAATCTATATCTTCTGCTTCTCTGTTTTTTTCTACAATAACAAAAATCCATTGAAAAATGATAGGTGAAATAACTGCAGTGTGTTTCTGACTAGCAGCATTAGCCACTCTTTTAAATTTTAAAAGATCCAACCAGGCATGCAATAGGAATGAAATACTGTATATACATGCCTAAATATGGGGTGAGCAATCACACTTGGCCAATAAAGTATTCTATTCTATTCTGTTCTGTTCTGTTCTGTTCTATTCTGTTCTGTTCTATTCTATTCTTATTCTTTGTGCTTAGCCACAAAGTCTCTTGAATGACTTTGATCCATGCACTATTCTATCTTACTTTTTGTTTGAAAATTATTAATTAAAGAAGAATGCAGAACCCCCTCCCCCTTTTGGAGGAAGGGTAGAATAAAATGCAAATAAATATTGGACTTGCGATTATTTGGACTCTGGGGAAAAGTAACACACACGCAAACACCACCACCCCTTCCTTTGTCTATGAATATTGTAATATTTACGTTATTTTAATGTCCTGGAATATCTAGGAATGAGGGATTTAAGAGATGTGCATCATCTTATTCTACTGGCAAACTACAGGAATGGGGCAAGGTAGGTACCGTATTTGCGCAAACCATGCTGCACACTACAATGTCTGTGAAGAAGCCAAAACTATATTTGTGGATTACCCTCGCCTTTGTACTGTCTGAAAAGAGACATCAAAATACCCCACCAACCACACAAGGGAGAGCTGAAGCTGGACTCAACCACCTGTCAGTGGTCGGGCTGCAAGCAAAACCTCGAGAAGAAGATAGGGTAAAGGCAGGCTGCTTAGCTGGCAGTTTTACAGACAGCAATCTCCACGTTTTCCCTCAAAGCGTACCTCCCCCCTCAAAGACGCTAGTGGATGGCAAGGGGCACAAAGATCCCCCCCAACCTCCCTGTGAAACCAATTGAGCAATTGAATAAACTGCGAGTTCCCTTAGTTGGCAGCCTAAGCAGAGGGGCCTGGAACCGCTCGTCGCAGGTGATAAGTGGAATCAGCTTCTTTAGCGATCCTCCTGCAACCCATTCTGTCCAAGTGGTTGCAGTGGGAAATCAGGGGTGGGGGAAAATAGGGCTATCTGAGGGGACGAAGAAGAGTGGCTGGCTCGGGAAGCAGAAATGCAGCAGGAATCTTGGGATCTGATATTTACTCTGACAATGGTATATGCACGCGATTGAGTTTGCAGTTGGGAACCCAATGTGTAGCCATGCCTCGCCACCAGCCACTTCTATTGGCCGATAGAAACGGCTGGTGACTCTGCCCTCAGGGAGCTTCTATCGGCCAATAGAAGCTGCCTCGTGGTGAGGAGATTCTGCCCGTGGGGTGCTTCTATCGGCCGATAGAGGCGAGTCTGCCCATGGGGTGCTCTAGCTGAGGCTACCTGCCGGGGGCTCCTAAAGGCAAGTTCCCCCCCCCACCCTTCCCCCCCATTTCTCTTCACCTCGTATAGTTCAAGCGATGTGAGAAATGGTGGGGAATGCATGGTTTAAATAGGCCTAAATTTTGGGGGAGGGGCTTAATTTCACCTCATGCTTATAAAACATGCTGGGCTTTCCTATTTGGGGGGGGCATATTGTTGGAGAAACACGGTACTTCCCTCCATGTAGAAGTAGTACCATTAACAATGATTCCTGTATAGTTTGTCAGACAGTTACAAGTCCGTCTGGTGGTGGTGATCTCTATTCCACATTTTTCTAGTAATTCGTGGTCTACTTTGTCAAATCTTATGTCCACAGCATTTTGCTGGTCTACTAATTTAGTCACTGTCAAAAAATGAAATAAGATTGATTTGGCATGAATTTTTTTTAACAAACTCATGCTGGCTTCTTTCTAGATGTTCACAGAACTTTTCTTCTGGATTACACTGATTCAATTGGGATAACAAGGGTGTAATAAATCTAGCTCTGGGTTCCTGATAAAAGATTGCAATGTAATAAGTAATTATAGTCAAATTTTGTAAGTTATTACAAATGCATAAATTGTGTGTAGTTGGTAATCCTTTGCACCTTCTATCCAAAGAGGCTGTTGTCATTGTTTGAAAGCAAAGTTCTGTAGAGAAGTGGGATGTAACAGACTGTAAATAGCATATTAGTTGCCCATTTTAAAAAAATTGGTACCACATAGCTAACTTAAACTTACATAACTGCTCTGTATTGTGTCTAAAATCTTTTTAAAAATAAGTAGTCGCTCAATAATGTAGGTTTTTTTTATCCATACGTCATTTAACAGCTTATAACAGTAATTTAGAGTATTGTTCCAAGGCAAGGGTTTAATCATCTAAAAAATGCCAAAGATTAGACAAAGTTCCAGGTCTAATGTCTTCATAACCTTTTATTTCATTCCTCACTTCACCAGTCCTCACAGAGATAGATATGTGTGGGTCAAATAAAGCTAGCAGTCTGTAGTTAGGACATAGGGTAGCCATCATATCCCTCACTGTTTAGCTGGAAGCCCATTAATCCCATTATAGGGTACAGGTGGTAACCTGAATATTATCTGTACTGTCAGACAAATTATGACAAGAGTAAGTATTCTGCAATGTATTCTTTTCCTTGCTGGTGATGGTGCGTGTTGATCCCTGTCATTCTGAGAGGCAGCTTCTCTTCTAGAAACCTAGAAATGTTGCAATGATTGCAGTGCAAACAGTGTGACATAGTGTAATGCTTGAACCAGGCCCAAACTTAGAGATGAACATATTGCTTGAAGGCCTAATGGGTAAAGAAACAGAAAGCTAGCAGATACTATGCACTTATCACTACTTCACGTTTTTTCATCCAACAGACATATATAGATGTTGAATGATACTAAGGATATTAAAACACTGCTTATCTGCAGAAAACCATTTTGCACTAGAAGTAGTGTCATTTCCAAACATTATCCTGAAGTCTCATTGAAATGGAGATAGAAAATCTGTTTAATTTTTAAGTTAATATTGTTATCTTAATCAGAATATGATTTGGTGATGAGACAGCTGTGTAAGATACAGTTTGACAGTTTCTCCTATAATGCATTCATATTACATAAAAATTGCCGTTTGTCTTTATTATGCAATTATTTATTTATTTATTATGCAATTATTTATTTAAATTATATGAATAAAGATATACAAAAATTGTATGCACAGTTCCATATCAGGTGTAAAAGGTTAGGTGTTCCACGAAGAATCCAAAATTGGTTGTGCAACTTTTGTGAGAGAATCCAGCAGCTGATAATAGGAGTATTTTAGATCATATTCCATATCATACCAATAATTCACTGAGGAAGAAAGAAAAAGTTTTTTAATACTATTAATAGTATTCTTACCCCATAATTTAAGCTTTTTTAATGAACTTTGTGATTCAATGCAAATTAAAAACCAACATACAGGTAACCTGCATTTTCTACCCTTAATATTACCAATTCTCAACCCAACACTGGGTTTTTAGAGATTCTGTTATTGGAACCTTGGAAAGAAGTAATCCAATTGTTCTGCCCATTATAAATAAATCCAGCCAAATGATTTCAACAGTTCTGCTTCAATAAACAACTGTATAACTAGCATTAGTTACTACATGGCTATAGTGGCATTCTCATATAGTATTTTCAAATGTAATCTAGTTTTATGTATTTTTCATGGAAACATAATTTATGTGGGGGGTTTTTTAAGGTGGGTGTGAAGTGGAGAGATATCATATAGAATCCACTGGGAAGGCGGTTTTCACATGGACATAAGCAAGCTAGTCCTTGCTGAACTAAATTAATTAGTGCAATTTCTACAGCTAAGCAATATGATTTGTAAAGAGCAATGTTATGTGACCTCATCCCCTAACAACCACAATTCCAACAGTCCTCATTGCTGTTGTTAAGTGAGAACCCCCTTGCAATTTCCTGCCAGCTTCCAACAAGCAAAGTTAATGGGAAAGCTGGCAGGAAGTACCAAATCCCAGGCAAGCTGGTAAGCAGGCACCTGGCACCTGAGAACAGCTTCTCAGTTCGAAGTTCTCACAACAACTCAACACCTGGTGATTGGCCCGCTTCGGACTGAGCAGTGGGAAGGTTTTTGATAAACAACTTTTTTTAACCAAACATTTTAGCGTGGGAACTTTAGATCCTGCCTATTCTCTTTGCTATCACCTTCTCGCAATAAAAGTTCCTTTTGAAATGCTACCTGTTTCAAGAGTTCTGCTTCCTTGAGGGGACCGCTGAGGCAAGATCTTACACCTGGTTTATGATCACATGATCACAAGAGTGTGGAGATGACCAATCATAAGTTCCACTAGTTCAGCATTACAGGAACTTCAAACAGACACTGAAGGAATGGTCATTAATCAAAGACTACTTACAGCCTATATGCAATTCTTACTTTGATTTGCAGCAGAGAAACTGTTAAACTGTCAAAATATAGTGGTAGAATTTGAACTTTCCAATTAAAATACAACATTATTTTCAGATCTCATCTGTTCAAAGGCTGGCTTGGATCCTGAGTTGCCTTCCATAAAATAAATATTATTTCAAGCGGAAGTTCCAACTACTAGAAGAAGATATAGTTTTTAGCAATTCTTTCTTTTGTTATCTCTCAAGGTCACCGAAGACTCCCTCTAACATGTCTGTCTGCAAAACTATGAGTAGAATTTGAATGAGTGAATCTACGATCTATGCCTACAAAAGTGGTTTATTTTGAAATAATCACAGTATCTCTCCTGCCAGGTAAGGTCCCTACGCTCATCTAACTCTCCTACTCTTGTTTTTAAGATTCTTTAAGCATCTTGTTTTTTATAGATACTTTCGGTTTTAATACATATGTCTTATATATATCATCTGGGTTTTTCCTTTTTTTTTTTTCCTTCTGTGAAATTCTGGTATATTTTCTATGTATTTAAATTGCCTGCATCCCATCCTTTTTATACTGGCCTATGATAGTAATAAAGATTTGATTTGATATTTTGGAAGACATTGAATACAATCTAACTGAAGACAGAAGAAGGAAATCATTTACATATTGACGGAGAAATCTGGTGAGTTGTAGCTATTATAAATTAAAAGATACTTTTTGGCATTTTTCTTACCTGCTATACAGCCATGTGATTGCTGAACATGATGGAACCAAAGAGAAGGAAGATACAACATTTCACCAGACTTCACAGTACATCTTAAAGGCTTTGCCTGAGTGTATTCTGGGTATTGTTTCAGATCTGGACTTAAAGGATCTAAAGGGATCCAGGGTACCTTTGTGGATGAAAGGTTAATATGATATTAATAGCTATTAATAAGATAATTATTTCTTCCAGAATTGAATCTTTTTTTTTCTTTTTAAGAGAAATATTTGAAAAGCACTGAAAATAGAATCCTTCACAATTATTAAACAATACAGCCAATATCAAAGGATTTTTTAAAAAAGCAATTAGTGTGGAGAAGTGACAGAGTTCCAGAAGGGCAGCCATCACTGCCACCCTCCACTGATCTGGGCTTTATGGCAGAATGGCTAGATGGAAGCCTCTCCTCAATGCAAAGCACTTGAAAGCCCGTTTGGAGTGTTTTTTAAAAAAAAAACAACACCCAAAGGACACTCAGGCTGTGAGGAACAAGATTTTCTGGTTTACCTTCTCTGCCGTTTTATCTTCCAGAATATCAAATGATCCATCTTCTGAGATGTGGTAAGTTGCTGGTGGATATAACTCTGGAACATAAAGTACAGATAGAAGTATATTGTTTACAATTAACTCTGCAATTCCCACACTGTGTATGTACCACAGCACCTCAGGGCAATGTGGCAAACTCACAGGAGCACCGTGGGGTATTTTACCACTTAATACAGATTGTTACCCTTAAAACAGATTGTTTTACTGGAATATTTTTTCCAGAAATCTGAACTTGAATTTATATAAAGCCGGTGTGTGGGGGGGGATGTATTTATGTATGTATTTATTTATATAAATATTTAAAAAACATATATAAGTCCACATTTAAACATCTGATGTAATATTGAAGACAAATTAGGCATTTTCCCCTTCAAAGTTAACAGCAATTTTTTTGCCCCTTTTTACGACCTTTCTTGACACAGCTGTTAAGGAAACCATTGCAGTGAACTGTGTTACAGTTGTTACATTAATCTGGCTTCCCTCTTGACTTTGCTTTTGTAAGGTCGCAAAAGGTGATCACATGATCTTAGAAAACTACAGCTATCATAAATATATACCAGTTGCCAAGCATCCAAATATGGATCACATGACCCACAAGGATGTTACAATGGTTGTGTAAAAGCTGTCATAAATCACATTTTTTCAGTACTGTTGTAACTTCGAATGATCACTGCACAAATGGCTGTAAGTCGACCTGTAATGTTTTCCTTGTCTCACTACAGTTAACATCTCCTGGATCCGTGATGGCAAACCTATGGCACGCGTGCCACAGGTGGTACGCAGAGCCATTTGTGCCGGCATGCAAGCCACAGGCAAATTTACCTCAATGCGCATGCGCGTGCCTCAGAGCTGATTTTTGGCTGGTTTGAGGCCTTTTACGGCCTCCTGGAGGCTTGAGAAAAGCCTCTGCAGGCTGAATAGGCTTGTTTCATCACTTCCTGTTACGAAACGGCCCTATTCGGCCTGCAGAGGCTTTTTTCAAGCCTCTGGGAGGCCGAAAAAGGCCTCAAATCAGCCGAAATTCAGCTGTGAGGTGCAGTGCAGGTAAGGGTGGTGGTGGTGGGGGGATTGCATGCACCTGTGGAGGGGGCATGGGGGAGCGCACATTGCCTTCTGGTGCTGGCACGCGAGCGCCAGTGCACATGCACAATTTTTGGCACAGGAGCCCAAAAAAGGTTAGCCACCAGTGTCCTGGGTGAACAAGAAGCCAAAGCAACAGAAGAGGGAAGGGCCAAAAGGTACCAAAAGGATCTCATGTTCTTATCCCCTAAGTGTCTCATAAACCTCAGCTGTATCTACCAAATGTGCACCTGTGTTGTATTGTGATTATCCATGCTTTGCTTATATATTTTTTTAAAAAATCCCTGCAGCATAGCAAAATATTAGGGAAGTTGAAGCCTGGGGATTTTTTTTTAATGACTCACAAAATATCAACATCATGTAGCTGACACCATTCCTATCCATTTCTCAAAATACCTACCATATGGGATGAAGGGACGGTCACTGGGCGGATGTAACAAAAAATGTTTTTCTCCAGAAATCACGCAGTACAAGTTTTCATAGTGGTCTTTGTGTACTAAGATTGGGGGGAGAAAAATGAAAGACTGGGAAAAGGAAGAGGGAATGGTCATTTGTTACCTCCATAATAAACATAGCACAAAAATAAAGCACAAGTATGAATTTGTAAGTGGGTTAGTTTTTTTATTTTGCTATCCACCGATCATTTAAAATACTGATTATAATAATATTCAGCAATCGGGACTTGAAAAAAAAACAACTCAGCAGGTTTCTAGGTAAGCCTTTCGTCACGCAATTGCTCTGCCTGATTCCTAGAATTGAGTCCAAGCATCATTGCCTGTTATTTGTCTTCTGATCACCCCTCCCACCCACTTTCTTCCCTCCAAAATTCTGTCCAGATGAAGTAACTGCAACATAGGTTCAGTTATAATAACAGTTAGGAGTAAGGAAGATATTTCAAATATTGTTCCCCAAAAGTAGGAATTTTCCTTTATTTTTAAAAAAGGTGTTTTGGTGCTCAAATTTGCCTACCAATTATGAATTGCAGCAGAGAATGTCTATGGAGATTGTCAGTCATCCAGGTCAAGGTTGCACCAAAGGTGCTTTTTCAAGAGGCAACTACACTTTCTGTTTGTTTTTTTTAATCCAAGAAGCAAAACGTCTTCAAAGAAAAACCAGAAAGTCCAGTTGCCTCTTGAAAAAGCACCTTTGGTGCAGCAGTGAATGCACTGATCTCATACATACATGAAGTCACTGCAGAAGATTCTCCCAGCCAGAAATTCACAGCATCGGGCTTCTTTCCTATTTAAAAAAAAAAGTCAAATCAGAAAAAGGTCTGAATTCTTTTTTTTTGTTGAAACAAATTTTATTAATTTAAAGAATTTTATTTTCACTCAGTCAATTAGCAGCCTTTCTTAACATCCTTTCTGAATAAATCTGGAAGAAACAACTGTTAATGCCTCAGAAATATATATTATCGCTATTATGCACAAGGATGAATAAGTGCTTTCCCAATGAAAGCAGCTGACAACAGAGGCTCATTTCCATTCTGGGTTTTTTTTTTCCTTCCTAGCATTTTCCTGAAAGTTCAGGATCTGCTATTTTCAGATCTCCCAAGTGTGGCTGAGAGAGTAGTTGCCCCAAGGTCAGCCAACTTTCATGACTAAGGCAGGACCAGAATTCATAGTCACCTGGTTTCTGGCCTGGTGCTTTAACCACTAGATCAAACTGTCTTTCTCATGTTCATTCTCTTCTGATTTTAAAATTCAATAGAATCAAACTCTAGGAATTGGAAGATATCTAATAAAACATCTAATGCAATCTTCTGCAGTAGCCACCCACCAAGAAATTCAATCGCTAATCTAGGCAGACAGTTCCGCTGCTTAAGAGTTTTTATCAGCAGGAAATTTCTTCTAGTATTCTGCAAGATTGGCAACACCCAGATGTAATTATTTAAATAGATTTCACTGTCAGCATTATAGTTTTAAAAAAAAACCCAATCTAACAACTTGGGATAATTGAACCTATATCCTCTGTAAACTTCTAGAATAGGTTTTGGTTTGGGAGAAGGGAGAAATAAACTATTTTTTTTCTAGATAATAACGGAAGAACCAAATACCACATTAACTCACATACCAGCAACACTTCACCATCATATAAACTAAATATGGGAACTAGACTGAAGCCAATGGTTTTACCTCTAAACTAGGTAAATATATTCAAGGAATTGTTGAATATAGTTAGGGATGTCAAAGAATTCTGATAATACAAGTAAAATATAGAAAACACCTACAAACACTTGCAGCATTTAATGAACTCTGGAGGTTGATGAAATTATGCAATACGATTAATTATTTCTAATTTTATTTTATTGTATTACACTATTTAACATATTATCCTTAAATCTTCAAAATTTCTGCTCTTGTTTTCTGCAAGCACCTACTAAAAAACAGTAATTCACAGGTTTAATACCAACATCTCCAGGGGACATTGAGAACTTCATGGGAAACAACTCCACCTATTGGTGCAAATATATCTATAAAAATGGACATTGCACAAAGTCGAAAACTTCAACTCATGGTGGTTGCAATTGCAGGATCAAAGTCATGCCCCTTTTTCTGTATGCACATTTTAAAATGCACATTTTAAAATGTAACATGGCTTCCACTGAATGATTACAGCTTCTGTTGGACTTTTTCACACTGCCCCATAGCGTACCCTTATGTCACTCCTATAAATGGGAAGCACAATTTGTGGTTTTAGGGCTTTCTTGAAACTCTTAAAAAACTTTGGGCTAGCCTGCATGTGTTTGATAAATTAAACATTTGATTTTTAATTTATGACACACAGAATAACATTAACTGCATTAAAATACTTCTGCTAAAGTCTTGACAGGCAATATTTACTACACCACTCAAAGGCTCTTGGTCATTCTGACCAACAACATCAAAAGGCATATAACTTATTATTTATATGCGAACTACATGCACAATAATAAAACTATCAATTTTGACTGCATCTTCTCCATGAACAAAGTAAACTTGGAGCATTCCAAAGCCAGAAAGCAGTTGTCTACTATAGTGCCAATTCTGGAATATTAGGATTTTAATATTTACCCAGTGCTTCGCTCATCCAAGGTATCTCAGGCTCCACATCACCTATAAGTTCAGGAAATTCCTCAGTCAGGTTTGAACACTGTTTCTGCACATAGAACACCCCTGGAGAAGTTATCTTCTTTTCCAAAATGTCCAAAAAAGCACTGAAAGGCATATGACGCTCCTCTGGCATAACAAACCAGTCCTGATAAACCGCATCAGCATAACCATTGGGGGTTACTGCCACACTCACCAGCTTGGAGCCCATTATTTGCCTGCAACAAAAATATCACAAGAGATTTATCCTTGTGCAAGAAACAGATTTATGTCAGTCACAATGTTTTAGGCAAAAGTGGATGAACACGCTCAGATGCGCTGGAAACCTCCTCATCAAGACATCATATGAGGTGTGTGGATATAAATAGATACGGTAGATAGATAAATAGACACACAGACAGGCAGAAAGACAGACAGACACCATAGATCAAGGTTCTTAAAACTTGGCAAGTTTAAGACTTGTGGATTTCAACTCCCAGAATTCCTGAGCTAACATGACTGGAGGAGGAATTCTGGGAATTGAAGTCCACAAGTCTTAAAGCTGTCAAATATGAAGACCCCTGCCATAGAGGTATGATAGATGATAGATGGGTGGGTGGGTGGGTGGATGTAGGTGTGGGGGGGGTACACACATACATTTACACATATCCCATCTTTATTACTTGTAGCCTCCTACCTCAAGTAACCCAAGGTCCACTTCTTCAGAGCCGGCCAGTGGTGGAAAGCATTTCGGATTATACATGGTTTGTTTGGGCAGATCCATTCCCGGTAGAATTCCAGGGGAGGTGGAAGAATATCAAGGTACGGCACTGATTCTGACCAACACAACTCTATTCGCACAGGGGGGCGAAAATATATGAACACTGCAATCATTTTAGGGATTGACAACTCTGCCTAAAGTTTTCTTGGAGCAGTTATAATTCTGTCATTCTTCCCAGAAGATTCGGTAACAGACCGAGGAGTAGAATAATTCATATATACTGTACTCAATATTTTTGCTGTGCAAGCTGGGACTGCCGAGTGCCACAAGTGAACAGGCCTAGGCTTTTGGGAATGTTGTGCCCCATCTTCCTAGCTACATTTCTACCAACAGCCTCCATATGACACCTCATTGTCACTACTTCGTTACAGAATGTACAGCATTTTGTGCAGCCAGATCTCCCAATTTTGGAAAGTAGCAAACACATTGGTTTGGAAATCGGAATTTTAAGATCGCCAGGGTTATGACAATCGACTTGGGGCATTACCAACTTTGCAATGCAAATATCCAGATGTTCCCTAGATCAGGGGTCTCCAACCTTGGCAACTTTAAGACTTGTGGACTTCAACTCCCAGAGTTCTGGGAGTTGAAGTCCACAAGTCTTAAAGTTGCCAAGGTTAGAGACTTCTGCCCTAGATGGCAGCAAAACTATGCCAGCTTTTTTATTTAGGGGGGCGGGTTAGCGGGAGGGGGGTTTGCAGGTTTCCAGGGCAGAGGAGGGCCATCCCGCGATCTTTGGACCGCCTTAACACAGAACCCAATCGGCGAGACAAATTCTGCTATGACGCCCCTAAATCCTAAAACCTCCCCCTGTAAAAAAGAAAAAAAAGAATGTGGTCTGCAATATTCAGCACGATACTAAATTACTATCGTTCTCTTTTCCTCCGGTAATTCTTAGTCCATAAATGGATTGTATATATACTCTTATTTCCATTTATGCACTGGTAGAAGCAGAGAGGGGTTAGCTTTCGCTGTCTCTAACGTGCCTCTGATCACAGACACACAGGCCGCTCACCCCGGGCTTCGGTGGGGAAATCAGCCAAACAGCGCTTCATCGCTTGCAGCATCCCAACTTCCCTTTCAGGCTCCGCCATCGGGAGTGGGGGAGTCTTATCTGCGCGTGCGCAACGACGACCGGCCTTAGGCCACGCCCCTTCCAGGCTCCACTTTCTCCCTCCGCCGGGGAAGACGCTGAACGCGCCTCCCAGCTCCGTCACACACACCCGTCCCCCAAGTCGACTTCAGCGGCTGGTTGCGGGGCAGAAGGCAAAGCTTCTCAGACCGTCTTGAGCGGTTTCTCTGGAGGAAAAAGTGTTACAGAAACCCCAGCGGCGCCACAAAACTTACGAGTCTCACACACACAATAAAAAGTGTCCAAAATTGTGTTGGATATCAGGTTCTGCAGTTAGGAGAAGACAGAAGAGTCTTTCACCCTAGAGATGCCTCATCGCACAAGCACATCCCAGCTGGAAAAATTCTAACTAGGTTTCACTTGTGGGCAGAAAAATGCCCAAAGCAAGCCACAGTATACTAATACTGGTTCAAAGGATGTAGTTTCCGCTCACTCCCAAATCAAAGTTAAAGAATATAATCATTAAAATATGCTTTTTGACAACCCAGTTAAAATGCTGTCATCCCAATCCAGACCACAAATTCAACTGTGATTAAGGAGTATATGTCTCATTTAGTTTACCTTAATCACAGTGCATAATCCTGCCAAGTCCAGACTCATAGCAGTTATTTGTGAAGCAGCATTTCTGCTGTCCCCCATTTCTATTTATTGTTGGTGCTATTATTTCACTTTTTATATTTATCAGATGTGTATGCTGCTCATCCCGCTGATGGTGACTCCTATCCATTTCCATAGGTAAGGGTTTATTTGCAAACCATACAATGCAAATGTTGTAAAACATGCAAATGCAAACATAGCTAACATTCATATAGTCAATTCTCGTGAGATGGGCAGCTATATAAATTTGATTAATTAATTAATAGTGCCTTTGAATAAGTCTTGACTCCTGCCAACTCCCAGGACAATACCCTACCGTTTTCTCGGCAAGATTTTTTTGGAAGTGGTTTGTCATTGCTTCCTTCATAGAGCTGAGAAACAGTGACTGGCTGAAGATCACCTAGCTAAGTGCCTAAGGCAGGAGTCTCAGAGTTTCTATCATAGTGCCTGAACCACTTCTCCAAAGTGGTTTTCCTGAGCAGTATTATGGAATCAAAGTATTTTCTGTGGCAAAACTATAACTATTACTACAATTACTACCATCTGTACCACATTGTCACACAAGAAAATATGTAAGTCTTACTTTTCGACATACAGTACATTTGTACTAATGTTTCTCCCCATTACAACTAGGCTAGTTGACAGATCATTGCTGAAACATATGAAAACACAATTGGCTCTGTTTACTGTACTAATTTTTACCTATTTGGTAGTTCTCTTTCTCTTTGTTGTAGGCTATTAAAAATACATTGAATTTAAGGTGACTGTACAGGTGGTTCTCGACGAGTGCTCCATGGAAGGTTGACCAGCAAAATGTAAATTTACACATACTGCACAGGAAACTGATTTATAGAACAATAATTAGTGATAGCTTAAAGAACTTTTGCCTGTTTTCACAGTTCAAAATTACTGGAGGAAATATAGTATATTCCACTTTATTTTGTAGCCTCACTAAGTTCATCAATTGCCTCAGGAGTGGGATTCTACTTGGTTGGACCGGTTCTATAGAACCAGTTGTTACGATTCTGTGCAGTTCAGATAACTAGCAAATTGCGCCACTGGCTGGCCTCTCCCTACCCAGTCACTCCTTACCTGGCATGCACGCCATCCAACTTGCCTGCATTGTGCCTTCACCTAATTTTTGGTAAGTTACTATTTTTCCTCCCCCCCCCCTCCGATAATCAGCTGTTCTATCAGCTGTGCCGTGCAATTTAGATTAGCTAGAAAGCAGGAAGTTGTTGGATTTCTTGCTTTCTAGCTAATCTAAGTTGCTGTGGCACTGCTTTGCCTTCGCCCAGGAGGCTTCCCTGAGGCCCAGTCAGGGGTAGTATTCAGGGGGTTGGGGGGGAAGAAGTGGCCTGAGAACAGAGCTGAACCTTCCTTATGACTGAAGCTTCTATTTTTCAGTGCAGACTCAGGCAGTAGATTGCAGAAAGGTAGATCTGTGAGTGGCTCTGTGATTCTGCAAGCAACTCAATCTGCCTTCCTGCTTTGCCTGATTTTGGGTAAAAGTTGTTCTTTTTTATAAAAAAATATTTACAATATTTACATACAAGACATGCCCAGCCAGTCAGGTGACCACCAAGCCACGCCCAGTCAGGAAGCCATGACCACCCAGTCACATGACCACCAAGCCACACCCACAAATTCGGCTATGCCCATAGAACCATTTGTTAAGAAATTTGAATCCCATCCCTGAATTGCCTTAACAAAATAATAGTAAACAATAGCATGAAAATAAATTTGTAACAATAAATTTGTTTATTGAAATTTAGACATTGAGTACAAATGAATGCAGAATTAAAAATACCCCCCAAAGTCGCTCACAGTGCAAACCCCCCAACAACCATTAAAACAATTTTCAAATAATTATAAAAGGACATTGTAAAAGGTTCATTTTCCATTAAAATCAAGATACAAAACACAATTTATAAATAAGGTTTAGGGTTGTTTTCTCCTTTTAAGCAAGTGTAAAATAAAAAGGGAGTGTTGAAAGAACACAGATAAAAGCTATCTGTACCCTAGGCTTAAAGATACGTTGTGTAGACATGGCTTACTGTATTCCTAATTTACAGCAGGTTAGCCCAATATATAAGCAGCCCAGCTTCAGCTTATTATTTACAAATAATACAGGATTTTTTTTAAAATCTAGAGAAATAACAATTTAGTCAGCAATACCCAAAGGGCCGTACAGTAGCTGCTCTGCATTCTGAATCTGTAATATTTTAAATATTGGATTCTGTAGATCCAGTGGGTGAGTGCACATACATGACAATGTTATTTATGTTTTAAAACACTGCCTTCGGTGTTGGCTGGTTCTTTCTTTGGGATCAGTAAGTTCTGGATCACTGGAGTGAAAAGGAGAAGTGAATAAGCCCCAATATCAAAAAGAAATTTATACAAAAAAGAAAACAAGTACAGGTACATAACAGGACATTCATATGTAGAAACACCAGATTCAAATATCTATAACTGGTGTGCACATATTTCAGCCTTTGAAAGTTTTCCTGTGTTTTATAGAAACAGGGATATGTCCCATGCACAGTATTTTTTTTAATAAAGGCTATCTTTGAAAAGAGAAATAGTATAAGAAACTTTAAATCACATTAAGAAACATTTCAGAAAACACAGAGACAATATGCAAATATGACATCAGAAATTGATCTTTTACAATCTCTCTTTGAGTTTGTTTTTAATATGTAGAAATTGCATGCATACATTAAAAACATTAGAAATAGAACAGATTGAAATACTGCATTTATATTTTTCCTCTCCCTAGACAACATGTTGACATTTCCTTAAAGGGCTAATGGACATCCATAATAACACCAGAAAAGCTGCATGCAGTTGAAAACAAAAGTATGCTAGCTGTCACAAAATTTTCTTATAATCTAACTTTTTAAAAAGCAGTGCTCCAAAGTTTACATTTGAATTACTATAAGGTGCCACCAATGACAAAAAAGTGTATTTTACATCAAGTATTTTCCATGGAGAACATGTAGGATTTTCTCTTTGATTCTTTCTGACCACATAGAGAAAATAAAGGAGGTCAGAATCTCATGGAACTCAAATGGCTTTGAAAAATTTTATTGGCTGAGAATATTCATTCCCAATGCCCAAATCATATATATTAGTGGGAAAATAAAGGGCACTTAAAAGACAAACATATCTCAATTTTTAATTACAAACTCATTTACATTATTGTTTAACTGCTATCTCTACTTACAATGTCTCTTTTCCATTCCATAACTTTTCCATTCTATTTCCCTCCTTGAATCAACTGATTCTCAGCCCTATAACTTTTCTAGAAGCCTTCGGTATGCCTTTAAATGAAATATTAGAAATTACAGGCCTATCCATTCCTCATTAAATATCTACTTACTCAAGACTCACAAAACTACAGTTCTAATTGACATCCAAATCCCCATCTGTATTACAGTATTTTCCTACCTGATCTAAGTTCCCGATCTAAGAACACAATGAAACGTATACACTGGAAACTGCTTTGAAATTAACAGGAGTTTTGATGTTGCCTCTTATTCAAGGCAGTCCCTGATTAATCATTACTTGTTTAATGCTTGAGGTATAAATTATCAGCAAATTGATTTTATTTCCAAAGACATCTGAACGTTTGACCCTGTCAAGATTGAATAGACATTCTGAATTTCTCATTGTTCATGCCACAGGATATCTGGAAGCATGACTTCTTTACCTGAGTGCATGTGTTCCAGCATAGGAAAAATTCCTCAGCATTGAACACTTTTTACAGTCTAGATATGAACAGGAAGAAGATATTTTGGCTATTAAGACATTTCCCAACATAGATGTATAGAAAAAAGCCACATTAATTTTCACTTAAATTAAGAGTATATTCCAGCAGTCTAGCAATAAGACTCTTTTTTTCTTGTATCTCTGGATTTAAGCATCTACAGCTGGAAGGAAAAAGCTCAGTTTTAAGAAGTGTGTCAACTATCATTCAAATCTAAGCAAATCCAGAAATGACATAATTAACTGTTCCAAGTCTCCAGCCTTGGAGTTCAATGGGCAGCCAAAATGGAAACAGATTTCTTTAACACTGTAGTGGTGCTGAGTGAAAGCCAATGAGATTCAGACAAAAGGTTATACTACAGGTGGCCAGATATCTGGAGCAGTGAAGACAGATGTTCACATGACAGTTTACAAAATGCAAGTAGAAAAGCCAGCCGGAAATATCTAAATCAGCCTATTCCACCATGGCGCCCTCTAGATTGACTGTGAGCACAAATCTTCAGAATTTTACTTTAGACCATACTGGCTAGGAATTCCCAACACAGTTGTTTTAACCTCAACAAATCTAGGAGGCAGAAGAGGGAAGCTAGGCTATAACAATGAAGCTATTTATTAAAATGACC